TCATTTCTGGCAGCTTTTAATTGGAAGATGTGTGGCTCTTAACTTCAGACAATAAATGACCATATGGGAAATTAAAAATTCTTGCGGTAAATGTAATACACATACCTATTTACAACTCGTACGTTTTAAAATTTCATTATAGAAATTGAATATGCTTAATAAAAGTGCTTCATAAGAAACTTCTTGGCATCTGGTCTCCTGACTTCATCATTCTTGGTAAACATTCGAAAATATTTATACATTATATTTTATGAATATAATAATAATAATAATAATAATAATAATAATAATAATAATAATAATAATACTCGTTAATGAAATGTTTGGGTTGAACCTCATAAGTATTGAAGACAGAAACAACATTGCCGGAACTAATGACTAAAAATAGAAATTCTGTGTGTACTGGCACAACAGCTCCTGATGTGAGCAACGTCTACCAGCGACGATCCGGCCTTGCGGCCATGTGTTAAGGAATAAATGTGGTTCGCTCATAGACATCCCTACGTCTTTTCAACCTGAGAAGTAAGCTTTCCCATCGTCACACAGCAACAGACACTGGGACATTACAAGGAAAGCGCACACTACAATCTTCCCCGACCGGGAATTGAACCCGCGATCGTGAAATGGAAACCGAGCACGCTGGTCAGTGGGCTACCCGTGGGTCGAAAATAGAAATTAGTCCATATAAAATTATCAACTTTAGATAATTATGAAGGGGAAAGTGAAGATCGTGTTCCTTCAAGGAGATGACACCAGATCTATTTGTTACACATTTTTACCACGCCGCCCTTAGAGTACTCTATGAGGAAATATCTTTCCAAAACAAATAGCTAATATCATCTTTAACTCCTGTCAGCATTACTTGGTCGATCGCAATAAGAGTGTATACAATATTCTCTCGTTACTAACAACAAACTCCTATTGGGCGTTAATGGGTTAATTTAAAAATGTTATAATCAAAACAAAATTGTCCCTACCTGAACACATTTTGTTCCCCAGATTTACTCATTAATCATCATTCTTTTCAAGATTCTTTCATACAAACATGTTACTGAAGACATATCACTTATTTCGTAATAGGTTTTACATTCCCATCGATATTTCTTATACATTAATGAGATTGTGATATCGCATATATCAATTTGATTGCACTGAAATGTCCCTATGCACTTTCCTTGTAAATACCTCGGTGTAAAATTAAAAATTGCTGGAAGAAGTGAAAAACAAAACAGGGCAAGGAAATAGATATAGTTGAATAATGTTTCTTAGTTGAATCATGTTCTACGGAATAAAAAAAATAACAAGAAAAACCAAATGCACTATATACAAGACTATAGTAATGACTGTTACAACAAATGGTTCAAGAATTTGGGACTTAGTAAAGCAGATAAGAACAAAATTTAAGATTATTCCCATTGCAAAAAAAGCAAAATGGTGCAACTAGAGAGAAATGTCATGCCATTAAAGAACCTAAGAAACTAATCTGGTTTGGCCATTAGAAGATAATGGGGAAGACAAGGTGACCTATATTTGTGTGTCAATGGGTCCCTCATCCCTTTCCTTCCATTAAGTAAAACCGCGACAGTTGAATCAAGACAACCAATAAACGTGTAAAACATCAATAGAAGCAATATAAATTTATATCTAAGAGCTCGTGAGATACTTTCTTGTATTAAATGTGATCATGTCAGAAATGAATAACATGCTTTTTGCAATGCTAACAGCTTTTGAATGACATGGTTGTTTTTTAGTGTGCTGCCAACATCTCTCTTTGACATACAATAATAATGTATTAGAAATTTTAATCAGAGATAATTCTAGTTGCAATATTATAAATATAAATGAAGTGTAACGCACGCAAAAGTATCTTACTAGAAGAAGGTCGGACAGAACTAGACGCTTAAGCTTTGTAGCAATTCGTAATTATATCAAGGCTTAATATCACAGCATTACACACTACAATGTAGTTTGATGTGTCATATAAATTCCCTTAAATATAATTGCCTATCTTGAAGGAAAAATTTCCCGTATTGTTTGAAAATTTCAAACATTTTTAACCGTGATAAAGATTGTAGAGCTGCGTTGGATATATCGAAAACAGGAAATAAGACACGTTTGGCATGCAACGGGAGTTTATTGATACATGCCTAAGACATGATGGATGGAGTTTAAAGTAATTAATTATTTAAAGTTGACACATCGATCCTTTAGAATTATAAGGTTTCAACTGAAAAAAATTCAAAACAGAGTTGTTGCAATGAAAATGTTCCGACTTCTGCTACAAGTAGAACAGTTGTGAACGAATGCCTACTGTAAAAATCCCTAATAGAAACTTAACTAATGTAAGTTGAGGAATGTCTGAATAGCCGGAGAGTTAAAACTTTGACATCCATTTACTCGAAACGAGTGCAATGTTAATTGGAACCTTATCATTCCCAAGAGTTGACATATAAATTGATGATGATGTCGCCATCCTGATTGAGGTTTTCTGGGTTTAATCAATCGCTTAAGACGTATGCCGGGATGTTACTACTCTGAATGTATGTATATTCAGTGGTTAAGCGGAAGAGCAGGTCCTAAAGGCCTGACCCTCGCCAATAATAAATGCATTATTATTATTATTATTATTATTATTATTATTATTATTATTATTATTATTAATATTATTATTAACTAACATTGTGAATATTATTATATGGTATTAGATAACAAAATTACCTACAAATTTAAGTACCGAACTCTTTTTTAAAACAACTATGACATTAGTGATTGAGAAATTCAAAGGCTGCCCAGTTTTTATGTGATCGTTCAAAAGTCAACACGTGATCCAGTTTTCTTCAAACGTTTAACAGAGATGATATAATGTTTCACATAAAACGAACTAACATTTATCACTACATCGAGAGCCTGCTTCAAGGTTTCCTCTATGCAAATAATTCTCATCTTCCACTTTTTGTCTTACTACGAGTAAAATGAAATCATCCACCAAAACTAATTTAATTCATCAACAATTTTGTTCGATACAACCAGAGATGCATTTGTAGAATATATTCCACCCTGGTGTTATATTTGATTCTTTACCTTTAAAATTTTACAATTAACGCTACCATCTTTATTTATTGAAATTAAGGAACGAGATTAATTCAGATTTTGATTCTCTCTTTTGACTTGGCTTACAATTAAACAAGATTTGTAATGAATACCAGTTCTATCGGAAAAGGTCAAGTAAATAAATACTGTTATAGTAAATTATAATTTGTGAGATAACATAGTTTTCCTACAAAATTTCATTTTTTTTTTAGGAATTTTATTTCAAGGTTGTAAACGAGTTTAAGCACAAGTCTCTGACAATCTTGAGTGATAAGTAAGTTATGAATTAAGTGATTAGTATCACATTACCATAAGCGCTTATTGATCATAAAAACAGTATTTTTTCACGTTTCACTGTTCTTTGGGAAATATCTTCAGGAGAAATGCAAGTCCTTTTAAGAAATTAATTCTCTCAAAATTAAGGGATTTTTATTTTCCATGGGTAATACTACTTTCCATGGGCAAAAGATTCGGTTCCATGACAATAGCTTTTCAATGTTATATTGTTTTAATATTCAGTTTGTGATTTCATATGGACTAATATTTAATTATTTCATGTGCATTAATAACTAATCATTGTTGTAATTATTACGTATTTGAAAACCGTTATTTTTCTCTTCCCTGGTCGCACTCTATGATCATTGCGGCTCTTCTCAATAACCAGGACGTTTGACAAGTTTTCTGGTTTGGTGCTCCCGAGGGCTTAAATTACACTGAGGAAATATAAAACCCACGGTTTTCCGTCTTCCGCATCCATCACTGTTTGCACTTCTTCCACAGGCCATTCCCTTTTACCCAGAACCTTTGTAGATTCCGCTGCAGACCCCAGAAAGGGATTTATCTTCCCAGGTCACCTATTTCCCCTTCTAGGCTTTTCATACAACAGCGCGGTGGTAGGAAACCGAAACCGAAGCTCCCTTCCCTCGAAGCAATGGATTATTTTTGAAAATTCCGGTCCCATAAATGTCTTCGAGTGTGAAATTTTATGTGAAGCGTGCCGCTCTACCTGACGCAGGGACAGTCGGCATTCGAGGGGTCGTCTCCAAGGGGAGGTTTCGGTTTTCTTAATATTTGGTTCGGCACAAAGCGGAATGCGAAAATAAAGGCGTCAAGGAGCCAATGCACGTCCGCGGCGGCGGCGGCGGGGGTCCGGACCCCCTCGCCGCGCAAGCCCCCCCCCCCCTCGCGGACCCGCGCCGCGTGCGGAGACGCCGCCTGCGGTTTCGGGTCTAAAGTGGCTCCTTATTTTAATTGCAGGGCATTACAGCCCGCGGGCGCAACCGTAACTTCGGAAGAACGGAGGCGGAAGGCGGCCCTCTCCACGTCGAGGGCCCCTCCTGCATCATACATGACGATTCTGCGAGGGAACGACGCGGCTCCGGCGAGACGGGACGGGACGGGACGGGACGTATTCAGAACGACACGAGTGTATCCTTTCGGGACAATAGTCCATAAAAACAGTCTTCTCTTGAAACTGTATCCAGAGGCAGAAGGGTGTCACGTAAAAGACATACTTCATCGACTACAAACGTCTATAATCCATTCGCAAGAGTATTCCGATGAGTTGAATGCCCAAGTGTTTGTTCCACGACCCGTTTGCTCCATTTCTGAAGCAGGTAACAAAGGCACCGCTGACTTGCATGAGATGGGTTAAAGGGATATGTTTCAAGGTGAGGGAATATCTTCGGAATATTGAACTTAAAAATATCATGGGAAAGGAAAACACACGAAGATTGATACCTAGCACGGAGACTTGAGTCATCTGATTCTCAACCTTTATGGCTATCTTCAAAACAATAATCGCACCAAGAATCTAGCTTCACTTTTCGCTCCTATTCAGAATGTAAACTATAAGTTCAATTGTGGTTTTAATAGTGAGAAAGTTAATTTTTTTCCATTTATTTTTTCAGAACATGAAATGATGGAAGGGTTCCCAGCAGTCGAAGTGGCAACAGCATCTTACGAACAATGGCAGAGATGAAGAATGGTGGAACGAGTGGAAGCGAAGACACAAAAAGAAAAGAGAGGAGAAGGAGAATCGCGGGAGAGGAGAACAAGAAGAAGCCGCGGTGGTGCTAGGGGCTCCCATAAAGCACCGCAGCTCCGTAACCGCCTCTACCCGCCCATTGGTCGTCGTCATGGAAACGCGGAAGGATACGCCGGGAGCCTTCTTCTCTTCCACGTGATAAATCTCCCGCCGCGCGTTCTCCTTCCGCCGCCCCCCCCGCCCCCTCTCCCGCTGCTTCCTTCTCTCACCCGACCCTCTCTCTCTTCTTCTTCTTCGTCTTCTCCTCCTCCGCAGCCTTCTTTCTACTCCGCGGCGGTGCGGCGAGGCGTAGCGCGGCGCGGTGCGGCGCGGCGAGCGCGCGTGGCGGTGGAAATACGAATTAAGTATAAGTTAAATCTACTTTTATTAAACTTTACTCTATCTCCCTGCCGCGCTTTCCAAAGTACGGCGAACGTAACTCGTGTTAATGGCTTCGTTTAAATTTCAAAAGCGCGCTCGGCGTT